GTCACGTCCCCTTCAAATATTCAAGTGTAATGTCAATCGACATCTGACACCCTGAGCCTGTTCCCCTTCCTTGTCTGTATCCTTTCCTCAAACACGTCTCTTTACTCTTATTCTCAATCCTCTCTAACCCCTTGCGTGCTAGTGACACTCCCGACTTGCTTGGGGGGAATTGTCTTAAAAAAATACTGCGACTACAAGAATGGATAACACTAGATAACTAGAAGGGAAATAATATTTTTTTAAGCGTTTCACCCCAAGCAAGGCAGGAAGCCACTACTACGCAACAGAGAGTTGGAGTGAGAGCAAATAGCAGTGATAGACGAAAGGATGAAGAGAAGGATAGAGGATAGATCAAGGAATCTGGAGACGTCGATTGACATTACATTTGAATAGTTGGAGATTATAGCTATCAGGAAAACAGGAAAAAGGGAGGAAGTTCCACAGGCGAGAAGTGCGAGACATGGAGCTAGTGGGGTAAAAGACTCGGTTTCGATAGTGAAAGGGTGAGAGTGAGATACCAGCCTAGTTGAACGCTTAAATTCATGAATCAAGATTTTGACTTTCCGTATCTAACTTAACATTTGCTGATAAATCTAATAATAGAAAGTTCAATGACATTAGGTAATTTGTGAAGTCTAATTTTGATAAAAAAACTGTTTTGAGAAAAAGATTTAGAAAATTTCAACCAACAGTAATGTTGTTAGGTCAATGAATGCCGAATGTTTCGTGTACTAAACGACTAATTTCATTTTTTTCTTTTGTGTAAAAGAAAGACAGTTGTCCACCAACTTAAAAGTCGATATGCATAAGAGAGAGAGAGAGAGAAAAAAAAGAGAAAGAAAGAGAAAAATCGAGATATATGTACTTTTATGTGCCCTGTACTTTCAGGACGTTGGCGGTTATAGCCCTCCACAATTTCCTGTACTTTGGAGATCTTACTGCATTGTCTTTTTGTTATCTCTCCTAAACCTGTTCTGCCATCCATTTACTCAGTTCACTAGATAGTTTATGAGTTGTTTTCCTCTGTCCCTGTGAGTATCATATCTTCCAACACATCATTGTGCCCTAAATTTTCAACTGACGCTCCCTGAGGTTAAGTATACGTGTCCTTTTTGTTTCCATTTTCTCTAAAACTTCGTCGCTGCTCCCATGTTTGGTTCATGGTAATCTCGGCATTCTTCTATAGGACAACATTGCTTCAAGACTCTTCTTCATCTGCGATGAGATGGTCCAGCATTCACTGCCATATAGGAGGACTGATATTACTTAACAGTTCGGTACTCTTTTCTTTGTTACTAAAGAAATTGTCCTGTTTCTTAATACTTTGCTTAGCTTCTGGAAAGCATCTTTCGCTATTACAAAGCGCCTTCAGATACCAGTGTTGCACTTTCCGACGTCAGTTAAAATACTTCCCAGATATTTTGTTGTACTTCTGTGATTTTGGTATCTCCAATTAGTAATTTGCATGTTGAGTTTTTTCCTTTGCAGAATACGAATTCTAACCTCGTGAAAACCATTTTTTTTTATTCCAGTATCATGAATTGAAGATTCAAGTTTGGAACAATAAAAGAATATAACCATTGGATGTTGTCTATAACTTTGAGAAGCGTCATTAGCACACAGTATTTTATTTAAGAAAAATGAGTATTTTTCGTTGTCGTATTGATATTACCATAATGTTCCGTCCGATCCATTCCACAGCCTTTTTCAAGGGTATAATCTTGTGTTCTTGTAATGGATCGATGCGATATAAGAAAGAAAATTTCTTACATGATTTTTTTTTGTTTGAATTAACCCACCCACCATTCTTTTCCATGCCATTTATATACATGAAGAAAGCTTTATTTGTACCAGTCGAGACGTTGTATTAACAGAATTCTTCTTCTTCTTCTTCTTCTTCTTCTTATTATTATTATTATTATTATTATTATTGTTATCGTGTTTTGGCTTTGCTTTTCGTAGAACGAATTGGCCCAAGTCTAAACCAAAGACATTAACCCGAGAACACTAACCATCAATTAAAGTTACACCACTACTAACCATGGGTATATTATACCCGATTATGAAAATATCAAAAAAAAAATAAAATAAAATAAAATAAATATAAATCTTTATTAGAAATATTTTACATGCAGGCACTTCAAACTTTGTATTTTGAATTAACATTAATAGGGACTGAAAAACGTATTATTTAGGTAAGAAAATCAGGTACTGAAAATTGTAATTAAAAATAGGAAAATTTTTGCTGGGTACTATATACCCATGGTTAGTGTTCTAGCGTTAAGAGACATGTTTTTTTTTGTATTAGAAGATGCAATCGGATGGCGTACAATCAGAAAGTGTATAAACGATTTAATTTTAGTCATTGCACAAAGAGAAATCTACGCAAGATGTTAGAAGTTCACATGAGTATGAATTTCTGCAAGTTATCAGTTTATTATTATTATTATTATTATTATTATTATTATTATTATTATTATTATTATTATTTATTTCTTTTGATTTCTGTCGTTTACACATTTCTTTCCGGGTCCCGCCCAGGGACGACCTAAGGTTAGAAATGGCATCATGACAATTTCCACTGAAAAAAAATTAGATAAAGCCCTTCGTAAAGTGTGGGCTGTACTTGTCAGAACAATTTTTTGTATCTCCTTGAGGCATGGACTTCCAGGAATCCCTTCAATTAGTCTACTGGAATCTTTTCCAACCAATCCTAGGGCTCCAACTACAACAGGGATTTTTGATGTTCCCATGTGCCACATTTTTGAGATTTGTATTTCAAGGTCCTTGTATTTTGACAGCTTTTTGAATATCTTCAAAGATACATTGCACTCTGCAGGGACTGCCATATCAATAAGGAGGCACTTTTTTGTTTGTGGTCTCTAATAACAATATCTGGGCGGTTGGCTTTGATTGTTCTGTCAGTGTGTATTGTGTAGTCTCATAAAATTGTAACAGGTCCTATCTCCGTAATATTATTATTATTATTATTATTATTATTATTATTATTATTATTATTTCCTTTGATTTCTGTTGTATACACATTTCCTACCGGGTCCCAAGCAGAGACCTAAGGTGAGAAATGGCTTTATGACATTTTCCATTGATCATTTTTGTAAAAAAGATACTCAAGAGCACATACATTTACATAGGTAAAGCTCTTTGTAAGGTGTGAGCTGTAATTATGGGTACAACTTTTGGTATTTCTTGGAGGCATGGCTTCCAGGAATCCCTTCAATGAGTCTATCGGAATCTTTTTCAATCGATCCCAGTGCTCCAACTACAACTGGGATTATTGATGTTCTCATGTGTCATATTTTTTGGATTTCCACTTCAAGATCCTTGTATTTTGATAGTTTTTGAAGATCTTCAAAGATACATTGCAATCTAGAGGGGCTGTCATGTCAATAAGAATGCACATTCCGTTCTTGCAGTCTTTGATCCCGATGTCTGGGCGATTAGCTTTGCTTGTCCTGTCTAAAATTCTTACAGATCCTATTCCTGTAACCGGGTCTAGGTGATTATTATTATTATTATTATTAATTTTGTCTATTTTTGTTTTTTATATAAATGCTCATCCCTGTCGGCTGGGGTTTTAGAATACGCCGACTGCACCTCGGCAGAGGTGTAAGACCCCTCCAATGAGGCGTCGTGGGTATGACGATAAACTACATCCGCATCCAGGGTAAGATGATAAACTACGTCCTGCAGCAAGGCCTCTGATCAGGAAGCTTTGAGGAGTGTGGAACCTCCTCTTAATTGCTGGTGTTCCCAGGCCCACCCTGATCCGGGGTGATAGCACCTGTTAGGGTCCCAGCTATGGGCAAATAGTTAACCCAGTTTTTATACCAGAAATACTTTGTAAAAAATTATTACCAGAAATAAATTTTTGAAGAAAAAAACTATTACCAGCAATACGTTTTTGAAAAAATAATATTACCAGCTGTACATTTTTTAGGAAAAAATATTAACAGAAATAGATTTTTGACAAAACAAAAATATTACCAGAAAAAATAAGAAAAGAGTCTTAAAACCCTCTTAAGTCACAGAAAAGATGAAGGAACTCATAGAAATCTTATGAGAAGAAAGAAAATAAAATCTCTGATGTGGAAATGACACATTATCATTGCAAGAAATGGTTGCGATTTTTTTCTTACCACACAGTTTTTTTAATCGATCACTTTTAGCGGCCTTCTTCAGGGGTACATTCCATATGAAAAGAGGGGAGGTGCACTATTCCTTGGTAATGTAAACAAAAAAATCAGTGACTGTCAGAAACAAAGAACAGAAAACTAACCCCATCTTTTTATAGGCCATGTAAAACCGAAGAAGATCCGAGAGTTGATTAACCTCGTTACGGTGCTATTAATAACAACAGCAATGTAGTTATCTCAGAGAATGAAAATAAAAACTTTTAAAAAATAAAAAATAGAACGAGAAGAAAACAGAAAAGAAAGAAAAAAATGAAGAAAATATGAAAGAATGAAATTAGAGGAAATTAAAAAAAGAAGTGAAAAGAAAAATAAAGCTAGTGATGTAGTTAAAAAATCTCCGACATTGAAATACAAACGAACATTCTTTCAACAATGTCGTCACCAGCGAGTAAGGTGAAGGACAGACGACCATTTAATTGAATAATTTTTACGGAAATATTTATCAATTACAAACATTCTTGTTTACGAAGCGAAAAATCACACCGGTGAGTTTAAGGACAGTTAATATATTAACTACATTCCAATTTAAAGTCGAACAATTCACAAATTGTTTTTGATAAGATCTGAATTGCAGCAAGCTCGTCATGTCAATGGTCGCCATTCACAATTAAGCTGTAAGAGATTAAAAGTCTTTTGTTGCAATTCGACGCCACATGTTCAGACTTGACAAGGAAACTTCAACAATGAAAGTCTTTCTCATTCTTCATTCAAGCAGATTCGTTTTATTTATTTCTTTGCTTCAATTGACTTTTATTCTGTGTGCTTTCATTTACTTTTTTTAAAAAGTTTTTCTCTTTTATTTTTTATTATTTTGTTTCATTTCTTTCTTTCCTTTCTTTCTTCTTTTCCTTTCTTTGCTTTACTTTTTTCTTCTTTTCCTTTTTTCTTCTTGTCATTCTTTCTTTTGCTTTTTCTTCCTTACTTTCCTTTCCTTTCCTTTTTTCTTCTTTTTCTCCTTCCTTTTCCTTTTCTTCCTTTCTTTCCTTTTTTCTTTTCTTCCTTCTTTGCATTTCTTTTCTTCATTTCTTTCTTTTCTTTTTATTCCTTTCTTTCCTTTCCTTTTTTCTTCCTTTCTTTCTTTCTTTTCCTTTTTCTTCCTATCTGTCCTTTTCTTTCTTTCTTTTTTCTTACTCTCGTTTCCTTTTTTCTTTCTTTCCTTCTTTTTTCTTTTATTTCTTTTTCTTTTTTTCTTCCTTTACTTTTTACTTTTCCTTTTTCTTCCTTTCTTTCCTTTATTTTTCCTATAGTCGCTCCTTAGTTTATTTCTTTTTCGTATAGTTATTCTTTATTTCCTTCATTTTCTTTCTTTTGTTTATTCTTTCTTTTCTCTTTCCTATTTCATTCTTTCCTTTTATTTCTTCTTATTTGCTTCTTCTTTCACATCCTTTATCTTCCTTTCTTTTCTTCCTTCCTTCATATTTCTTTTTCCTTCTTTTGTATTTCCTTCATTTTTTCCTTCATTTGCTTGTTTTTTAAAAAAGTTTAAATAAATTCCTTCATTCAGTTTTTGATCTTTCCTTCTTTTATTTTTTGTTTGCTTTTTTAAAAAAAAATAATTTTTAAGACGGAATTTTTATTATTTTTTCCAGGATTGCATTAGGAGTGTTTATTTTCAACTACTTTCACTCAGAAAGATCGCTATTAACTGCAACGGCTGTTATGTCAGCGTATAAGTGTCAAAAAGTTTTTTTTTTGAGGATTGTTTTCTTGATTCTTCCCGATGGAAGAAAAACATCCACATTTTTGGAATATTGTCTTTTCTTGCTTTTGGTTTAATGTGGCTGATGTAGATAGAAATGTCTCAAGAAAGGTAAAAATACAAATCGAACACGAAAATGATTTGAATAAAGATAGTCCAGGTCAAACTTCACGGTTGAATTAAACAGCTGAAGCTTGCCGTAATCAAACCATGACATATACAGGTTAGTAAAAAAAAAAAAAGCAGAAATTTCAAAACTTTAATAAAAACAAACGCTAAAATGCAGAAACATATCCAACACATTATTGGATTAGAAAAAGGTTCAAAGTTTATTATTTTAAGGTTACACATGGCTAATTGCTGTACACAAAACGACTTTTCTTGTGGTATGGCCATTTTAAGGCTTTGGTATCAATAATAACAATTTAAATTTATACAAAATCTGAAAATAAAAACAATAAAAAGAATCATTTAAACAACATAAAAAAACATTCATTAATTTTAATAACTTTAAACCATTCCGTATTCAGTAATATGTTGAATATGTTTCTTTTTTTTTAGCATTTGTTCTTATTAATTTTTTAAAATATCCCTTGTTATCAAAAACATCAATAGAAAATCGGAATTAACAACAATTTTATTACCTTTTGGTACAGGGGAACATAATGTAGAATAGAAACTAGGGAAGAGAGTGTTTAACCGTGAATGACTGTTTTCGGCAAAGGCTGCTGCTGCTACCGCTCTTCCAACTACTCCTCTTGATGTAGGAGTATTTTTATGTCTTTCGTCTGACGGCCGAGTCCAAGCTACTGCTGCTACCGCTCTTCCAGCTACTCCTCTTGATGTGGGAGTATTTTTATGTCTTTCGTCCGACGGCCGAGTCCAAGCTACTGCTGCTACCGCTCTTCCAACTACTCCTCTTGATGTGGGATTTTTATTTTTATGTCTTTTCGTCTGACGTCTTTTCGTCCGAGTCCAAGCTACTGCTGCTACGCTCTTCCAGCTACTCCTCTTGATGTGGGAGTATTTTTATGTCTTTCGTCCGACGACTGAGTCCAAGCTACTGCTGCTACCGCTCTTCCAACTACTCCTCTTGATGTAGGAGTATTTTTATGTCTTTAGTCCGACGGTCGAGTCCAAACTCGTATGGAAATATTCTAGCTCTTCCTATATATACAGACATATAGTTAAATAGGGACATTTCATATATTTTGTTGTTTAGTTTAGCTTCATCATAATTTTTAGGAAAGCTACATCAATAGTGAAACATGTTAAATTTCTACAAATTTTCCAACTTCTTACTTATTTATCTATTCCGTCTGATTTAATTTATATTTTCAACACACCCCTCAGCTCTCAGCTTACATGAGGACTGAAGGGTGTAGTGTATTTCCAAATAGGGGTTATCTTTGAAATCCAGATAAAACATTTTAATGATTTTCAAAACAAAATCCTCTTTATAAAAAAGAACAGCCCAACTCATTCTTCCTAACCCTCAATATCACTTTATTTTCTGTTTCCGAATAAGATAAGCTTGTTAAATGTCTACACATACAGGAGGTAGTGCCTGAGAAATTCTCAACCCACTTCTCAAAATTATAATTAAAGCATGACAGAAACATGCTAAGAGAGAGAAATTCATTATTGCGTAGGAAAAGAATGAAAGTTCATTATTTGAGCCCTGACCACTGCTTTACCGGTGGTAGAGGAAGATGTAAATCCTAGCCACCGGTCGAACAGTGGTAGGGAAAAATGACGTAATGCCCAGCCACCGGCTGAATAGTGGTATAAAAAAATGACTATTAAGTTGAACAGTTGAACGGTAGGCAAACACTTGTAACTATTTTTATATCTACCGTGAAACATTACGTATCAATTATTTGAGAATTTTGACTCAGGAGCTCAAGCAGAAAGGTTCAAATTGTTCAGGGACGAAGGGCTCAAAGGGTTAAGGTTACACAAAACGACTTTTCTTGTGGCGTGGCTGTTTTAAGGGTTGGCAGAAATAATAACAATTTAAATTTATAAAAAAAACTGAAAAAAAACCCAAACAAAACAAAACTAAAAAAATGATTTAAACAAGATCGGAAAAAATCGTTAATTTTAATAAATTTGAAACTTTCCCTATTCTGTAATGTAATAAATATATTTCTGTCTTTTAACGTTTGGACTTATTACATTTTTGAAATATAAAAATAATAAAATAATAAAAGCCACTTGGGTTACTGAGAGTGAAAGGGGACAATAAAAGGACACTAAGCAAGGTGACAATAGATGACGGTGGATATTGCATTTAAATTTTGGAGGTCGTAGTTGACAGGAAAGCAGGAAGCCGGAAGCCGGAAGTGAGTTCCACAAGTGCAAGAGAAGAAATTCTTAGAATAGAACCTACGATTACATTTTGCAATTTCGACCATGGAATTGTGAAACCTACCTGCCAATCTAGTACGGCACTTAAATTCGTGAAGTCGATGCAACAACGAGAAAAGCTCAGAATGACAATTACCGTTAAAATGTTTATAAAAAAATCTACGGCACGGCGTCAGGAAAGTGACTGAAGGCTAAATGACAAGTCAGAACCGATAAGATTGCAGATTCTGCTTTGGGATTTTGTCAAGAATCTCTAGAAGCACCAGACCAGAAGTGGCGGCAGTATTCAATGGATGAATGGTAGACTTGTAAAAACCCTGGAAATATTCTTCTTGAATACAACATAGAAAACTATTTAGCATTCCACGTTCATCGTAGTATCCATAGGCAAAAGGTTATGGGCAGGTCCATTCTTATTCTTTGTGGTGCTATGTCCATTTAGGACGTGGGCAATGGCGACTCTCTACAACTTCTTATACTTTGAATATCTAAGCAATATTTGTTCCTTTATCACTCCTTTAAGTCCTTGTTCTACTATTTAACCAAATTTATCAAGTCAGTTACTCGATTTTCTTTTGCGCTCCTCCTACTTAAGTATGTGCTGTGAGTGACAAATTCTTCAGGCCTTTTTTCCTCATTATGTATTCAAGAAATTCGTCTTTTTCCGTTTTTAAATAGGAATACATTTTTATTTCCTTTTTCGTTAAACATTGCTCGCTGTATCGCCTATGGGGTCTTCAACATCTGCCTGAAGAAATATATTTCTGTGTCTCAGATCAGTTACAGACTGATTGAAAAGTAACTCCCTATTTTAAAATAGTTATAATTTATCTATTAATTATAGTTTTACAAGAAATAGATATGAGAGGACAGCGTTTAGCATGAGTTTTTATTTAAAATTCGATATGTGCAATAGATTTCGCTAATCTAGCTGCCCAGGAATCGCGTCAACTGATTTCATCAGGATCTCTTGTGGTATGGAAGATATAACTTCTTGTATTCGCTCTTCAATTTTTTCAAAGTCTTGGTTTGGTATAGTAGGCTTGCTTCTTTAACCAACCCCCAAAGAAAAAAGTCACAGGGTGTTAAGTCAGGATTCCTGACTGGCCATGCATATATAAAATAGGGGGTTACTTTTTAATAATCCTGTAGATATAGAATCGATACCGCTCTACGTATATCTTATATTGATTTATGGAGAATAATTTCATTCATTCATTTTTTTATTATAATATTTCGGTTACTGTAATCTTAGAAACTTCTCTGATCTCATTTGAAGTCGTAATTTTATAGTGAATCTGATGACTTTTACCACTGAAATCATTTTTTGATAAATTTTCTTAATTTTATATGATTGACACAAAGAAATGTAGTTTCATGCCTCTTCTAAACTGAAACGTTGTGAAATTCGAAACCGGTTAGCAGATTTTTGTGGTTGATTTTTCACGGTTTTTCCCGACAGCTATTCATTTCAAGAATGCCTTCATCCTTTGTCGAGGTGCATATATGAATCTATTTGGATAAATGAATTTGCACAAACATCGCCTTCATTTTTAGCTTGATTAGTTTGTTACAGGGAAGACATATATGAAGAGAGTTGTATACGAATGGGTTACAACTCTCTTCATCTTGTATTGCTTCGGTTATAAATTTCAGTTATCGATTTTATTAACTGCTTCTTTTGTGCAATCTCGCGTGTGATTTCTTTATTTAAATTTCAACTACTGAAAAATAGTAGGTATTTTTTGTTTTTATTTTTCCGACACTCTACAGACTCACTAGATAATCACACTCGCTCTATAAACACACTCGCTCTATAAACACACTCACATTTTAAAGATCCTTTCTCTATAGATATGCTCACTCTATAAACACACTCACTCTATATAAACACTGACTATAAACACACTCACCCTATATACATACTCATTCTATAAACACATTCACTCTATAAAAATAATAGCTCTATAAACGCACTCACTCTATATACACACTCACAATATAAAGATACTCGCCTATATAAACACCCACACTGGAAAAACACTCACTATGTAAAGATCCTCTCTCTATAAACACACTCAATCTATAAAATTACTCGTTCCATAAACATTTCGTGACAATAAGTGCAGAAACAGAATTTACCTCTTTCATAGGTAAAAACATAATGACATTTTCGGG